TTATTTACATATGTGCTTGATACAAATCTTAAAATGTAACATTTGTAGTCTTTTTGTTGTTGTTTGTGGATTCAAGTTGAAATTGTATGTAATAGCTCCGTCTAGTGGTTTATGTGGGAACATGACAACTGGTATGCAACTTTTAGCCTGGAACGAACCATCCTGTTTCGCGACACGGATGTCAAAGACTTTTATAACTAACCCAAGATAGACCACAGCCTGTTGTTTCCAATCGGAGCAAATTAATCATAGTGGGCAGAACAAGCAAGGAGGTGGGCAGAGCCAATCACGAGCTAGTGAGATCCTATTGGCTCATTCTAGCACGCCTACTCTGTGAGGTGCGTATGTGCAATAACTAAATTCGCCCTTGCACTACTATTTTTTTTTTTTTACTTTGGCAAAAGGTAAAGTCTACAAAACGTAGTCCACTCTGTTCGTAACAGATTCTAGTTTTGGAAACAGAAAACTGTATTAAGATCAAACGTTTCCATCTTGCTCCATCTTCGGCCACTGGGCTTCCTCTTACCACCATATTTGGTAGTGAGTGGAAACTCCAACCGGATGCTTCACATTTATACGTCTGGTGAAATACTTATACATCTGGTGAGATCATGATGGTTCGTGGGTTCGTTTAGCACATATAGAACAATGAGACAGATATTTCACTGGATGTATAAATGTGATGCATCCGGTTGGCGTTTCCACTCAATACCAAATTTGGTAATGAGAGGAAGCCCAGTGGCCGGCATGTGGGAAAAGATAGAGCGAGATGGATTTTGGCCGACATTCTGCTAACTTTCTCATCAATTAAACATTTGATCTCCATACAGTTTTCTGTTTCCAAAACTACAATCTGTAACAAACAGAGTGGACTGCGTTTTGTACACTTGACCCTTTGCCAAAGTTTCAACAACAAAGTGCAAGGGCGAATTGAGCTATTCCACACGCGCGCTTCACAGAGTAGGCGGTCTCTAACAGAAATATACAAATGATTGCTAGAACACACCAATAGAATATCACTGGCTCGTGCTTGGCTCTGCCCACCTCCTTACTTGTTCTGCCCACTATGATTCATTATCTCCCATTGGAAACAACAGGCTGTGGGTTAGTTATAAAAATCTTTGCTTTTAGCAGTTCATGAAATCTTCCTTTCACTAGCAGTCAGTGGCGCCATCTTGTGGATATAGTTGAAACCTGTTTATTCCATGGCATCAAACCTTGTCCTAAAAATGCAATTCTCAGCCTGCTGAATTTGCGTTGTCACTCACTCATAATCCCTTTGTTCTCATAAACGAAACACATACTCAAGCCCACATGATGTAGGAACCAAGTACTGTACCGAATGCTAAACATGTTTTAGATTTTATAAGAGCATGATAAAATGCTTTGATCTTATCTTTAGGAAAACCATCTATACTTCCTGATGGAATCCCCTGTGATCACAGATGAGCAGTTCTGTGAAATCGCTGCTGTTTTGTAGTTTCCCAGACAAAGTTTAATTTAAATCAGGACTAGACTAATTCTACTTAAATTAATCCAGATTTTAAGAATTGCTTTCTGAGACATTGCTTAACTTCAGATTAATTAGTTCTAGACTACGGCGTCCCAGGCTAAGGTAGGTAAGGACTAACCAGTTAATCTTTGTGTAGCCTAATTAGATTAACGATGTGCACTTGGTGCTGACCTGGGGATGCTTAAAAAACCAGGGTTGGGACACAAAAACACAAGCATTGTGTGGAATTGGAGCAAGTCACCTAAACCAAACAATGTAATCATTTTCTAGAGGCAGATGATCACCATAGCTTGGAGGGATAAGACAGGATGAAGGTCAGTCCACTACATCTGTAGGAGCCAGGAGCGAAGATTGTGTCACTAACCTGGGCTGGAGGGGGCTGGAGGACAAAGTCAAAGATGGGAGGTCTCTGAGACCTTACAGGAGATCTCTGAGACCTTACGGGAGGTCTCTGACTCCAGGATGGGAAAATCCTTAACTAGAAAGAAACAGATGAAGACACAGAAGGGGACCATGAGACACTATGTTGTATTTTAAATAGTTAATCTGTTGTCAATTTCAATTCTGACTTGTAATGTTAAAAAGGGGATAAAAAGACCTCCCCCTGTTTATCTGAATTAGCTAGGCTACTCACTATACCAATGATAGGCTACAGATTTGAGTCACTGCAATTAAAACTGCTTTCCCAGTGTATATTTCTATTAAATGACATGTCCTTACTATGTATTGCATGTTTGAGGAGATTATATGTTTTTATAAATGTTTGCAACTCATTAATAAATGGCAAAAAAAGGTTTCCACTTTCTTTTAAAGTACAGTATATTTTGATAAATTATATTGGTAGGCCTAACGCGTTAATAAATGGTCAGTAGGTTTCCACTTTCTTGAAAGGTACCGTTTCAGCAGTTATAAATGTGAGTAAATCACTCAGAGCTTAGACATACTTACAGGCAGTACTGGGTACTCATCACTACATACATGAGAGAAGATTCAACACTTTGTTAAACATGTTCAGTCAATGACTGGTGGGTATGATGACCAAAACATTCAATGTTGTCAGAGGATACCTCCTCCACTGTTTCACCAACCAGAGGTATTACGGTTACCATTTCACACCAGAGAGTTAATCATACTTGGACTATCGCAGAGAAGTGGTAAGTGTTTTGATATAATCTGGTAAGGGGTAATACATTAGGAATGATGATTGAATAATGTCCTGGAAGTCAATTTGGCCAGGGCATCAGGATTTGAAAGGTGGGTCAAGACACATCATGAAAACCATGGGATAGAGCGCCAATGCATCACACCCAGAAGTGAGAAAATAACTATTGTTCAACTGTGCACCTATTGAAAAGAAGGTTGCATGATGATACATAAGGGTTCGTCATATCAGCATTTGTAAGTGCACTTATAAATGGCTAATAACTGGAGATGAATATTGGCTCACTATTTGGCAAACACTGACAAGTTATTGCACTATTTTGACCAATGCGATATAACCATTTATTAATAGTTTATAATGCATTTACAAATCATTAATATAATTATAACCCCTTTATCAACCCTTTACAAATGGAACCTTATTGTAAAGTGTTACCCCTTTTTGTTACCAACCCGTGGCTATTGTTTGCTTCAATCACTTGAGCTACAGTATCTTTGTGGGAAGTGCTGCATAGCAAAAGCATCTCTGCAGGCTTGTCCATTTCTGTCATTGTCTAGTGTGAGGATCTGGGCAGCCATGTTGTTTGAGGTCATTGATCTGGGCAGCCATGTTGTTTGAGGTCATTGATCTGGGCAGCCATGTTGTTTGAGGTCATTGATCTGGGCAGCCATGTTGTTTGAAGTCATTGATCTGGGCAGCCATGTTGTTTGAGGTCATTGATCTGGGCAGTCATGTTGTTTGAGGTCATTGATGTGGGCAGCCATGTTGTTTGAGGTCATTGATCTGGGCAGCCATGTTGTTTGAGGTCATTGATCTGGGCAGCCATGCTGTTTGAGGTCATTGATCTGGGCAGCCATGTTGTTTGAGGTCATTGATCTGGGCAGCCATGTTGTTTGAGGTCATTGTGAAGCGCTGCTGTTACAATGATTACATTGCAGTATCTTCTTGGTTGAACGCGCAATGTGTTTCTGAGACACTGAAAACGACTCTTCCATACACCAAACATGCACTCCACTACACCTTTTGTGCGGATATGAGCTTGGTTGTACCGTTGTTGCTCAGGTCCTATTGCATGAAGATAGGGGTTGAACAAGAAGTTGGTCTGTGCATACCCAGTCACCAAGTATGATTCCACTATGTTGTCCTCTTTCAAGCTGAGCACACAGAAGAGTTTAGGAAAATCCTTGAGTCTTGAGTTGCACCTTTCCAACGGGCAACAATGTTGGAGTCTTGGAGAACTGCAAATTGGGAGTGCCCACACTTTGCACATTTATTGAGAACCAGTTTTTACGATTCCTGTACTCCTCAGCATCTGCTGTACAGGGAGACTTGATGGGAATAGAACATCCATCTGTACAGCCAATGACTCCAGGGAAGCTTCCATATTCATAGAACTCTACCTTGTAGTTTGCTTGGGCAGCAGCATCAAGGCACTTGATGCACACTGAACAAAAATATATAAAACGCAACATGTAAAGTGTTGGTCCCATGTTTCATGAGCTGAAATAAAAGATCCCAGAAATGTTCCATATGCACAAAAAGCTTATTTCTCTCAATTTGTTCACACACATTTTCATTTACATCCCTGTTAGTGAGCATTTCTCCTTTGCCAAAATACTCCATCTACCTGACAGGTGTGACATACCAAGAAGCTGTGTGATCATTACACAGGTGCACCTTGTGCTGGGGACAAAAGGCAGCTCTAAAATGAGCAGTTTCGCAACAACACAATGCCACAAATGTCTCCATTTTTTAGGGTGTGTGCAATTAGCATGCTGACTGCAGGACCGTCCACCAGAGCTGTTGCCAGAGAACTGAATGTTCATCTCTCTACCATAAGCCACCTGCAATGTTGTTTTAGAGAATTTGGCAGTACGTCCAACCGGCCTCACAACTGCAGACCACGTGTATGGCGTTGTGTGGGCGAGCGGTTTGGTGATGTCAACGCTGTGAACAGAGTGCCGCATTGTGGCGGTGGGGTTCTGGTATGGGCAGGCATAAACTACGGAACAACGAACACAATTGCTATGATTAACTTAATCTGTGTCCACGAAACCACCCCTTAAGAGCCTAGTGCCAGATGGAGTGCAAGTATTTTCACAGGCAGTTGCAAGACCATATAATACTAATGGTTGTTACACATTCTACAACTATTTTAGTATTCCATTTTTCATTCTCACATTGCCTAATGTCCAAAACGGGGTTACGGTGAATTTACTAGGCGCAACTTTACTGCTGGAGACCATAACATTACCACCTGAACTGTAAACTACAGTAGTAGCCATTTTATGCCACTATGCCCATAATCATCATATTGGCGTAATAACTACAGACTTGGAAGAGGAAACGGCACCAGTCCAAGTCATGGTCAGCTTTGCCCCTATATTCAGTACGCCACTACCGGATCTCCCCCCCTGGCAACCATGAAAACACCTGAAACGGATTAACTTCAGAAACAACACAATCTATATGTGGCAAACATTCTTTAATTGATTGGAGAAGCAAAATACATGAGTAAACAAATTCAGTGCATTTAGCGCTCTAGTATAAACTACAAAATAAACTCTCCACCCATATACAAACATCAATCCATCTAGCGAGCTTGATAACACAGGCGCAAAGTAAATAGAATCATCTAGAAAAGCTGGAAGGTAGTGGGAGGGGTGGAGGCATGCAAAATTGATGTTCCAAAACTCCGGTAGGTGGAGGCTTGTTTTGTTTCTAGATGGCGTCGATGTCAAGGTCGTCTTCTTCCTCCGCAGGCTTCTCTGGTTTCACAGTCTCCACTTTCAGCTCTCGGGCAGAGGATGAGTAGACCACCTGGGGGGAGCGAAGTGGAGTGAGGGAAATGTTAATTAGGTGAAATTAAGACACTCCGGTGCCACTCATTTCTCACCAGGAGCTTCAGTAGTATGCACAATAAACAGAATGGTTAGATAGAAATGTACGGAGCAGAACAGACGGTGCTCTGTCATGCAGAGTAGGGCATCGTGTCAGCTCTTCACATTTCTATCTGAATAGGTCCATGGAGAGCTGAAAGCTTGTGACAGTGATCATTTGCATTTCAATGCAATAACACCAAACCAATGTCTATATGTGTATGACGGGAATGACTGTCTTCAGGTAAAATCAGTGGCAGCAATAACTAATTACCTCCAAGTTATCTTCATCTTCCTCCTCATCTGCCCCGCTGCCCTCGCTCTCCTCTTCTGCCTCCTTCAGCCACTTGATGAAGGGCGCAGCCTTGGCATGGATCTCTTTGGCCAACTCCTTGGACACGTACTTCTTGGACACCTGACACACAGAGTTGATGTGTTAAAGGTAGGATGGGGGAGTCTCAACAGGTTCTAGTGTAGGTTACTGCCTTTAGTCAGTTTAATATGTCAAATATCTTGGATGAGGCATGTCTAAAAATACATTCTCTCAAAATAGTTTTATCCTGTCATCTCAGTTACAACCCTTTAACCCTGTTGATGTCCATCCCAGTTACCTTCTCTGCCCAGGCCAGGATGACGTCCTCCTCCAGCAGGTCGGCGTCGTACAGGTCTTTGAGGACGATGGGCACGCGGGGCAGCAGCTGGGTCTGGTGTAGCTTCACCAGACACTCAAAGCCCCCCAGGAGGTACTTCTGGGCCTTCTTGTTGTTGTGGGTAAACTAGACACCAGAGAGCATCATAAAAAAAATAAAATAATGGAAGGTGAAGATTGAGTAAAATCCAACAGCAGGTTTATAGCTGTATCTATTGCCACAATGAATTTTGTTGACGTTATGCCAAACAATTAGTGTGACAACACTGACCCTCATTACAAATTTGAGTTATGGCGCAGAGATAAGGTATTAAGGAGCCAGAACAGTCACACAGTAAAGCTAAGAGGGACTCACTCTGAGGAAGTGGCGTTTGTACTTCTTGATCTGGTCACGGATGTTCTCGTCCATCAGCAGCTCTGTCAGGATCAGCGGGGCAGTGTCCTTCACGTCCAGACGCTCCGCCTCCGCCAGGATCTCTTTATCCGAGGAGTCGACGGCACCGTCCTCCTTCTTTTGCTGTGGAGGGAGCGATGGAGTGAGCCACCAAGAGACGACATCTCACTCTCAAACAGTTGTGAGGACATCTTGATTTGGCTTCCCCCTCATTTTCTTTATTCATCCTTATACAATTGATAGATTAAAATCTTTTTTATTTTTTTTATCAACATAGACCTGTCCAAAGGCAACAACAATGTAGTTACATACCATGGTGCATCTGCACTCTGCTTAGCGCAGGTTTATTTCCTTGTGGAGTCTATCAAACCCATTTGGATACATCTATACATTAATGTAAGCAAGCAATAAGCAAAGCAGTATGTTATGGCGTTGAAAAGGCCCTGGCAAAACAGATATTGACAAAATACCTAGACGTAGCGAACAATCTTTGGGAGGAGAATAGTCTAGAGTTTAGAGGTGGAACACAAGAGAAGTGACAAGACTTGGGTGAGTGAGGCATCCCGTCACCTCCATAACACCCCTAAGGTCACTACTGTGACCACAGTAAATGGAATTAGTATGACGAGAGCGGAGGCGAATCTGAACTACGGAGGTGGGGGTTGTTTCTGTGCAAGGACCGAGTCTTCATATATGCAATCGAGCAATAAGCAAGGCAGAGCGTGTTAGTGAGTTGACAGGGCCCAGGCAGAGCGTGTTAGTGAGTTGACAGGGCCCAGGCAGAGCGTGTTAGTGAGTTGACAGGGCCCAGGCAGAGCGTGTTAGTGAGTTGACAGGGCCCAGGAAGTGAGTTATGGAGTTGACAAGGTCCATGCAAAACAGAAATTGGGTTGTTTCTGGACAGGGTCCGGAGTCTGACCTTGACAAAGTTGTAGAAGAGGTTGACCCTCTCCTCCAGGGGTTTCTCCAGGTCCTCGCTGAGGGTCAGGTTCTTAGCGTGCGCGCTGATCTCCTCCATCCGGCGCTGCTGGGCCTCCTCGGTCGTCTCCTCTGCCCAGTCCTGGTCATCATCGTCACCGTCCTAGAGCAAATCCATTACATTTCAGTTTTACAGTGCTTTTGAAAATAAGACAATCAGCGCTACACAGTAAAAACTATTCCCATAAGGCTGTATGCTATAGAGAAACAAGATCCAGGAAATAGAATGGAGACTGGTTGCGTTTAATTCCAGAAAGCTGTCCATTCACTCCCCTTCATGGATCAGAGACAACTGGGTAAATCTAAGAAATGTCTCTACCTAGATTCTGCCATATTTCACCTATCAGATCTGTGAAGGATGATACAGAAACTTAGCCATGAAGTCAACGTTTCGGCAAGTAGGCCTCTCAAGACCAGTCTACAGGTCAAGGTAACCCAAGCGCAACGTCGGTCAAACGCCCCTCAAGTTTCTGGCAATGCTTTTTTGACCGGGGTCTGGCTGGCACTGGGTGGATGAAGTGCTAGTACTCACCACAGCGTCGGGGGCGTCTATGTCATTGTGGTTGGCGGCTTCTCCGTCACTGGAGCCGTTCTCCTTGTCCTTCTTCTTGCTCTTCTTCTCCTTCTTCTTGGCAGACCCAGTGTCCTCTGTTCGCAGACAGAGATGAAGGAAGTTAGGACAGACCACCTGACATTACACACTCGCTCTCTCAATCATTTCTTGATTCCTTGTGTTTGTGTTTTGTGTTTCTTTGGTGTAGTAAATTGAACAACAACAAAAACGAGAGCCTCGGATGATTTGAGGCAGTGCTAAGAAACTGCTAGTAGAACAGATGCCACGGCAGATGCTGCTCTCTGAGGGTACGGCAACGCTCACTGCTGCTCATCTTTGACTCATGACGATGACTCATGTTTCAGCAGCAAAATACCACCCAACATGACTCATCTAGTGCCTTAAGAAGTTGTTTGTGACCCACAAGACTAACAACTCACGTGTCTAGTAACAAAATAATGGCTGTGTTCACGTGTGCTTTAAAATTAAGCATATTGTACGGCTGGGGTTGTTTTTAAACCCACATTGAAAAAGCCTCAGCCTGAACAACCCCGTAAACTACATTCTGAAATTCCCTGACTTTCCAATAAATGACATGAATGGAATTTCCAGAATGGTAGTGCTGGAAAGCATGCATGTCTGACAAAGCGGAGTTCCTGAAAGCGCTAAATAAAAGTGAGTGTTTTTTTCAAAGAGTCGTGCCTTCCGTCTGACTGCATTGGAAAACGTTTTAGAAATCCCCTGCTTTTCTCAGGCATTCCCAGAGAATGCCTAAAAGTTGTTCATCACCGTGTGAATAAGGTCTGGCTCACCTGGTGGGTTCCTGAGGATGAATGTGCAGAGCTTGTGTCGCGTGTCCAGCATGCCTCTGTAGCCGCAGGCCTTGCAGGAGTTCCCGATGGTTTGTTTCTTGGCGTTGATGTGCTGAAGAACAGAGAATATTTTTTGTTATCTTCAGTATGGTCTTATTAGTACTCAAGTCTCATATCTTACGCGGTAGGCAAAGCAACAACAACTAGCTACGCAAAATGGCAATCCTGTGTAGTTGGGTAGCAAAAATACGCAGACGTGTGCATCCCTGCAATTATACAGTGCCTTCGGAAAGTAATCAGACCCCTAGACTTTTTCCACTGTTAGGTTACAGCCTTATTCTAAAATTGATTAAATATTTGTTTACCCTTATTAATCTACACAATAACAAAGCGAAAACAGGTTAATAAATTTATTAAAAATAAAAAACAGAAATACCTTATTTACATAAGTATTCAGGCCCTTTGCTATGAGACTCGAAATTGAGCTCAGGTGCATCCTGTTTCCATTGATCATTCTAGAGATGTTTCTACAACTTGGAGTCCACCTGTGGTAAATTCAATTGATTGGACATGATTTGGAAAGGCACACCTGTCTATGAAAAGTCCCACAGTTGACAGTGCACGTCAGAGCAAAAACCAGTTCCTTCGACCTCATGGCTTGTCCGTAGAGCTCAGAGACAGGATTGTGTCGAGGCACAGATCGGAGGAAGGGTACCAAAATATTTCTGCAGCATTGAAGGTCTAAGAACAGTGGCCTCCATCACTCTTAAATGGAAGAAGTTTGGAACCACCAAGACTCTTCCTAGAGCTGGCCGCTCGGCCAAACTGAGCAATCGGGGGAGGAGGGCCTTGGTCAGGGAGGTGACCAAGAACCCGATGGTCACTGACAGAGCTCCTCTGTGGAGATTGGAGTACCTTCCAGAACGACAAACATCTCTGCAGCACTCCACCATTCAGGCCTTTATGATAGTGGCCAGACGGAAGCCATTCCTCAGTAAATGGCACGAGCCTGCTTGGAGTTTGCCAAAAGGCACCTAAAGACTCTGACCATGAGAAACAAGATTCTCTGGACTGATGAAACCAAGATTGAACTCTTTGGAATGAATGCCAAGCATCACGTCTGGAGCAAACCTAGCACCATCCATACAATCAAGCGTGGTGGTGGCAGCATCATGATGTGGGGATGTTCTTCAGCGGCAGGGACTGGGAGACTAGTCAGGATCAAGGGAAAGATGAACGGCGCAAAGTACAGAGAGATCCTTGATGAAAACCTGCTTCAGAGTGCTCAGGACCTCAGACTGTGGCAAAGGTTCACCCTCCAACAGGACAAGGACACGAAGCACACAGCAAAGACAATGCAGGAGTGGCTTCGGGACCAGTCTCTGAATGTCCTTGAGTGGCCCAGCCAGAGCCCGGACTTGAACCCGATCGAACATCTCTGGAGAGACCTGAAAATAGCTGTGCAGCAACGCTCCCCATCCAACCTGACAGAGCTTGAGAGGATCTGCAGAGAAGAATGGGAGAAACTCCCCAAATACAGATGTGCCAAGCTTGTAACGTCATACCCAAGAAGACTTGAGGCTATAATCGCTGCAAAAGGTGCTTCAACAAAGTACTGAGTAAAGGGTCTGAATACTTATGTAAATGTATTTTTTTTTAAATAAATTCGCAAAAAAACATAAACCTGTTTTTGCTTTGTCATTATGGAGTAGTGTGTGTAGATAGAGGGGGAAAATGTTTTAATCAATTTTAGAATAAGGCTGTAACGTAACAAAATGTGGAAAAAGTCAAGGGGTCTGAATACTTTCCGAAGGCACTGTAAACACGACCAGTACGCAGGATGGCCAGTTTGAGAAGCTAATCGCGTTCTTGCTGTAAACACCTTTGTGACCCAATATTCTGTTTAATATCATCCCCTAAAAAGAATGGTGCTCAAGTACCCTTGCTCTATGGGCCAGCTGCACAGACCTAGATTAAGCATGGCCTGTGACGAAAAAGTAAGCTCAATGCAGAGTCTTGGCTTAATCTAAGTCTATGCAACCACCCCATAATATAGCAAGATACGTTTTTCTGACTTGATCATTGACAGACAGTGACACATGCATTTTTCTAGACAGTGTAATACAGTATGATGCCTTGGATGCTTGAGGGCAAGGCCTACTGTAGGAATCCAATGAATAATGCAAGCCGTTCGTTCCTGTTCTCAATATAGACTGCATATTCATCACTCCATTCCAATGGGACGCGACCGGTTTGCGACAGATGTATGAATAAGCCCAGTGTGGCCAGGAAAGATGTGCATGGATCTTGTCTGTTCATGATTGGTTTAGGGGGATGGAGACTTCACTAGTCTCATTATTCTCTCTCTCTCTCTCTCGCTCTCAACATCTGAACCTAATCGAGCATCTGACGCAAGATTTTATTTCTAGGTTTTCGAGGTTAATCCAAGTTTAACTGACCTATTCTTTACATTTCCATTGGGAACGTTTCGTAACCTTGCACTCAGGGGCCCTGGTTAACAAGCACCTTGCCTCTGCCCCATGGCGGAGGTGCCAGCAGGCTCCATGGCGGAGGCGACAGCAGGCCCCAGACTGACTGCAGCATCCTGAGCCCCACGGAAGGATCATGTGACACCTCCAGGAGCGCTGCCTGGATCTCCGTAGTGCAGGGGAAGCGGGGCCGAACAAACGCACCGCCGCAGCGAAGGAGAGCCACTGTTTTTCTATCACTTTATATAAAAAAGAACAGGGCCATCCATAGACAGACGCTATACTAGTCATACTAATTCTATGGGCTGATCCTCTACGCAGATAATAAAACATCTTGTAAGATATGAATCTATCAAACACCACTTATTGCAAGGTTTAGAACCTGACATCAATACATTGGATTTCTATTCAGCTCTGACATAAGAACCCCTCCCAACTAAACAGTGTCGGCCAGCCCCAGTTAACCACCGAAAGCTGTGGAATGAGTCACTGTGCACATTCCATTCGGTCATTTGTAATAGCACTGGAGTTCTCTCGGAAAGCGTCCGCGCATTGACTCGTGATGCGGGCCCTGCCTAGATATGCCTCGCCGCAGAACAGAATCCCCCTGGCTGTGCGGACCGGTGACAGCGCTGACCTAATTACAATAGAAACATGCCCGTCAGCGAAAACATAGCACAGAGGGGTGTGGTTGGGGGGGGGACCATCGAGTTCATCCCTCCCTCCCTGTACAGACAATACAACGTGCCAGAGGACACCAAGTCCAGCAGACAAGGCTGTTTGGATGAAAAACAAAGCAAACACCAAATGGGAAGCTCCAGCATGTGACCCTGGATTTGCAAAACAGTGGATTTCGTATCTAAAGGGAGGCCGGTCGGTCCTGGTTGGATATAGGAAATGAGTACCGTCACAAGCCAAAATGGAGAGATAGTGAAGAACTGGTGTCCCACCCCACCTTTCTTTTATTTGATCCTTCCATAGCAGAGGGTGGGTCAAAGTTCAGTTTCAATTAGACCTTTTCCAGGATCTGACAAATGTTGGAACAGAAAAATTAAAAGCTTTCCGGACTATTTACCAGGTCGGTTTCGGGATTGTCACATTCGGGACACAGCACAAACTTCCGGATGAATCCGTCCAGCATGTCTTGCAGCTTGTTCGCCTCGTGCGACCCGTTGACGATGAAGCGGTCGTTCTTGGCGTCGAACTGGGTCTGGGCACCCAACTCACAACCAAAGAATTTGGTGGGATCTGGACAGAGAGAACAAGAAGCAAATATGTTTCAGTTTACATTCAGATAAAAGCCTTCCCATCCTCATCATAGGTTTGAGAGAGTTGAGCTTATTGTATTTTGTGCTGATATTCATAGCCTCACTCGTTACTACAGATGAAAGGGGGTTCCACCATATTGTCAAAGTCAAAATGAGTCCACATCATCAGTTGTGTAGATATGGCTATATTCCACAATCCAAAATGAATGGAAAAGATAAGCAGCATATAACTTCCAGATTTGCTGTGCTCATCTTTTCCATCCATTTTGAGTTGAGGCATTGGCCTATGCCCAATCTACACAACTCACGTTGTGGGATGCGGACTCATCTTGATGTCAGACTACTTTTGAGGTCTGAAAACATCCGACAAACTTTAATTTTGGAGTGCAATGTCCCCTTTTAACCTATCGTTACAGATGACTGGGCACAATGGAGGGAACAGAGAGGCATTTACAAGTACTAACAACTATTCCAAACTGTTCACAACCTTGTGAAATTGGCATCTATCTAGTGGGTCAGACCAGTGCCCAAAAGGCTGGGGCGCGTTCAGCAGGACAATGTTGTGGAAGGTTCAGATAGAGGCATGTTTATTTATAAACGGGCCATTTCTAACAGAATAAGGAATCATGTCTGCTCTATACATGGCATTTCTACCTGCAAAGTTGGACAACATTTGGCTCCTGAAGGTGTCCCTGGGAACGGAGGTGGTGGGGGTTATACTTACACGTGGGAGGCCTATTCAGAGACTTGGCAACGTCAGTCATGTTGACTATGACAGTCTTTATACCATTCCCCTTGCCTTCCACCTGGAGGATGAGACCAGAGAAACAAAGTTTGAGGACAACATCCTTCCAACTGGGTCACATTCTGACAGCGTAAATGCCTTTCAACTCGCACCTCAACTCGGGGGGGGGGGGGGGGGGGGGGGGGTTGCAGACATTTAAGCACCACATTTAAGAAATCACATACAAATCGAAGCTTCTTCTAGTGAAAAGTATTTTTTGTAAAGGCTGGGAACATTTATTTCAGTGTCTTAAGAACAAGTTTACCCTCAGACTATACGTGGACTTATTCCCTTGCCTCAAGCACTAAAATGGATTGGTTAGGTTTCCACCATATTGATTTCCTTTACATATTTTATTTCAGTTCTCAAGGAGGGAGACAAGGGAATGAAGCTTTGACTAGTTGCACTCTGGTCACTGACCAAACCCTCACGGCAACCACTACACTGTTAAAAAGGTAGGAATGTCCCCTAAACACAGGTCTAGGATCAGATCTTGTAGGGATGACTCCAGTCCACGGTGACCCGTACTCACCTTGGCGATTATACGGGGCATCTTGTAGCGGTAGAACTGATCCAACACGCTGCGGTTGACGTTGACGGACATGACGGCTGGCCGCGGGCTTTATCAGTACGATAGAAAGATCTTGGACTGCAAATTTTTGGTATCCTCTGTCTGGCGAAGATGGGATGACATAAACGACTGGAAGAGGGTTCGGGCTCGGACATGAAAAAGGTCTTGCCACTGAGGCTGTAAGCTCCGCGCCTGTAGGCTAAGTTCCCCCCACACAGGTTCCAACAGCTGCGCAACAGCTCTGAGAAGAGAGGGGAAGACTGTGTTGATCGAAGGAAGACATCACAGCAAAGAAAGAATGTGTTAGTATGAAGTGTGAATGTACCCAGCTATCTTGTGTGAGACCGGTACAAGACATGAGTCCCTATGGGCTTCCCACCCTTGCACGCGGTCACTTATCTGTGGTTAACACCTGCCAAAACACATACCCCACGCATTTGCTAATATTAGGGCTGGGCGATATATCGAATTAATTCAAAATGCATGTTTTTGCGAGATATTCCAAATGCCTGTTTCGCAAGAATCCTGTTTTTTTTTTTATGACGGTTTAGGTCCGCTTGTTCTCATGTCTTTTTGGTCTTGTCTCCTTCGTGCCTTCCCATTTACACCAGAGATCTGTATATAATGACGAGATGCTCATGTCTCCACCCTAACAATGAGAGTTGTTGTTCCAAAGGCAAGCGACAAACTCTTGCGTCGCATCTTCCTATCCACACACACACACACCTCACAACAAAGATAAGATATCACTTCCACTCTGACAAGCGGTTTTCAACTCATTATCTCCATTTGAGGTGTGGTCCAACAGAAATCTGTCAAATGGACCCCGAAACACATGGAGACATTATTTTACTGTAATAGAGAAATTAACCTTTCTAACAATACTCGTCTGAACTCTTCAAATTGGCCGCAGAGCAGACACTTCAAAAACGGGAGTATCAATGAACATTGATTATGGAAAATGAATGCTCAGTTTGTCGCGTGTGGCATTGCAGTACCACGTACTACTAGCAACATTTTAGCCAAAGACCGTTGTACTAGCCGTCTGGTCCGTGATTTATAAAATGTGCAATAAGCATAAAACACATTTATAAGGAACTGGCAAGTTCTTATGAGAAATAAGGTAGGCCAGTTGATTTCAACATCTAAACAAAATGGACAGGCTAGCATGCTGTTCAAACAGTTGGCGTTTATAACAGTTCTTCCTTGTTAGCTAGCAAATAGATCCAACTTGGCTACACTTGAAATATAAAGATTAGCTGGCTATTCACTAGCACGTGGGCTTGTGCTGAGACTGTTTATGAGACCAGTGTTCGTTTTATATAAATGCGCGCTACAAAAGTTAATCATTAGTTCTGGTTATATTAACAAAATGGGCGTTTAAATAGACAGAGTTGTGATTGCAAAATAGCACGGTACACTATTTTGATAACAATTGTTGAAGGCTTATATCTAGCCTTGGTATAATTTCACAAGCCCTGAATTCATTTGATTATTGTTGACCGTTTGAAACGCAGTGAATTTGTCCTTTAATAGTACAACAAAGTTTACAGAATTATATATATATATATATATATATAATTAAATAAATAAATATATAGTGATTCGACCTTAAATTTGAAAAAGTATAGATAATTTTTAGGCCATATCACCCAGCCCTAGGTTATAAACCATCATATTGGTTAGTACTGAAGTAGCCTTCTTTTTTTTCGTGAAAAGTACGAAGAGAGCTCATTTTCCAATCAGACCAATTACCATTTAAGTCCCTTCTCTTCCAAAAAAAGGAATTTGGCACACTTGGCAGGTTAAGTCACCACAATGTACAAGATAACATTTGGAAAGGAATAACTGGCCTACAAACAGTGGCATCATATGGTTAGCTACGCCATTGTAGCTTGCTAACTATGTAACACTAACCATAGGAAAATGCACGCATGAGAACTATTCCCACATGTCATATGAATCATATAACGTATACCTAGTGCACTACAGTGGGTTTCAAGATAAACCTAACATGTTAATTCCATTATTGGCACGAAAATATAAAAATTGCCAATATAGCTAAGAACATTATCAGTATTAAATCATCGCACATGTAACAGGTGAGAAGGGGGTTTGAGAAGCACACCAGGCCTCGATTGAGCAATGTGCTGCAGAGTGCGTCATACAGAGGAGCAGTACGCCAGGGGAGGAAGACGCCATCTTGGTCCACATAGGAGGCGCATTCACCATACAAACATCTTTGAAATAAATGCAATACCAACAGCCACACAGGGATTAAAGTATAATTGATGTTAAAATACCTTTCCCATCCGTCGCTCCTGTCGTCCGGGTACTCACCGTTTTCGCAAAACAAAGACATAAACACACCGCTGGTCGCCCAGAGACGCAATAAAGTGTTGTGTGGATGAGCAGTAACGTTAGGGTTGCAGTAAAGTGGAGACCGAGCGGCACTGCAACGGTGCCGAAAGAGTAGTCCGACCTTACGGTGGAGGGTACTAGAGCCCGCAGAGAAAACTCGAGACGCCCAAAAATGGGGTATCTGGAATAAACCAAAGGGACAAACAAATCAGTACAAAATGACAGCTGTCAGCTTGTAGTAATAGCTAGCTAGCATTAGCCAATGACTATGATAACATATGGAACCCACAGAAAACCTAGCTAACCTAGTTATAGTATTAGCCAACGATGGCTTAAAAAGGTATACAAGTTGATCTGCTCTATACGTTTGAATAATTAGTTGAATATCCGCTGATTAGTGAACATAAATAATTAAAATCGGTCATCTAGCTAGCCACCTTGATCTTCAAACTTGCTTCGACTCACCTCCAGAACGTTCTCGCTAGGTCCTTGCAACGCCACTATAACGTAGCTAAGCGATGTGTCAATGTGCTGTCAATCTACCCGAGCTCCGCAACTACTCACGCCCATTTTATCGACGTCACTCAAATGGCAACTTCTTACTCGTTCATTTTGGTGCCAATCATTGTTTGCTGAATTGATGGGGGGAAAATATGAATGAAAAATGAGGACAATGTTCAGTTGGATGAGATCCCTACATTTTGACGACCGGGTTTTTGCTGTTATGTGGTGCCTTTTCTGTCCCTAGGAAATATCAGTTCTTATTTAGTGTAAAATGTGGATTCCAAAAGGCTTTAAGTATAAGGTCAGGTGTCCTTTACCTTAAAAACACCAAAAATATGTATCCTGAAAGGGAATTTTATGCATTTTTAACTCTTTTTGTCAGTGGATGTAGGCGTTTTTGCCATGTCCCCAGGTGTTATTTATCAACTTCCACAAGAATTATAAGCCATAAAATAATCAAATCTTTAAAATCTTTCTTCATTATGTTATAGTCCTATTTAAAGTCTATTTCATCAATAAAGTATTTTTTCATGATTATTGTATTTATTATTATTATTTTATTTAAGATTTTCACCTTGTAGGTTCCATCCTCTTAGGGTTATGCACCTAACAACACCCAAAATGTGTTTAAGTGCCTGAGCTTGACCAATATGTTTTTCTGAAAGTCAAACATCTCATTTTTCTGACAGAATACTCAATATATATATATATATATATATTTTAATGCAAAGGATTTGAAGTCCAAATGGCACTGCATATGTAGGAATGACCCAACCATTAAAATAGCCTTTGAAGGAATATATTTAGTAATGGGTTAACCATATATTGAATAACCAAATATTGAAAGGCTATTGAATAGCCTATGTGTATTTATATTATAGCTAACGTTGGTGGTATAACAAGACATTATCATTCATTCCTACAGCAATACTTTGGGAAAGAGCTAGCTTCGATGCAACCAAGAGTTTTTGGACTCTGGACTCTGCACAATGTAAAAACTCTGTAAAATCTCTCTTGGTTGCTTCGAAACTAGGAGAGAGCATGCACATGTTTTAAAGTATAACATACCAGAGAGTGCTTGCGTGGTGGATCAGTTACTTTCAAACTGTATGTAAACTGTAATACTTCTCTTTGTGGTGGAACGTATATAATGCCATGTTGGCCTGGGGAGAGAGGGCTGCATACAGGCCGAAGGCTCTGGACGTGTTTTCAACCACTCTAGTAAAAAACAAAATACAGCTCTGGCAGGGTGTGAAGCCAGGGGACAGATTGCTAAAGCATGTGGAATGCTGATCTGAATAGAGTGGGGCACTGGCAGCCTTCCTGGATTACCTGTGGAATTATTGTTGGTGGTGGAGAGAGGAGGCTGAGGGGGAGTTGTTGTTGACCACTGAAATCTGGGGCAACCTAGTTCAACAGTGAGCGAAGCATTTAACCCTTACTGACCACCAAATTAAGATTATAGCCCCCCTCAAGTGTAGTGTATATAAGAATAATATTCTATGCTTCATAGTTACAATTAATCTTACTTATTTTTCAGGGTACAGTATACCCAAAGGCACAGTCCATACCACAACTTGTTTACTGAGTGTTGTGCTCAGTTGTGCCATTGTGCACGCCAACAAAATATTGCCTGTTCGACAACACGTTGACAGAATCGTCCGGTGGCCACTCCATCAAGTCAAGCATTTACACTGGGCCATCATGTGAGTTTAATTGAAATGTCAGACTGTTCCACAATCCACAGTGGTTGGGTTCAGCAACTTCACTGAAAAGCCAACTGGGGTCATTCATTTGATTGTATGCTGCTGCTGGCTCTATGAAAAAGCTGACTTAACTACTTTTAAAAACGTGCCAGACCTACAGTTCATCTACTCTATGCCAATCAGATCCTCCCTTCAGGATTGGAATTGGTGTGACCTCGGTTTAACCTTTCACCTCACCTCATGTCAGAAATAGACTTGCACCCCAAAATGGAAACTCAGGAGTGTGAAAGCACAGCTACACTCGAAAGATGAACAGCAGGGACAATCAAACAAGGTTGCAATTAACATGAAAAAAAAAACATAAAACTCTTGAGTTGTAATACACACGTTTTTTTTGGCTAATGGATTGAAAACAATGAAGGTAGTCCGTCTCTCCAACAGATAGCTATATAGTGACGTCTAATCTGTCTGATTTACAAGCGTTTGTTTGTCAGGCCACACCCCTATGCACATTAATTGGTTCACAGTGGCCATGTTCGAGCTAAAAATCAGATAATATTTATCTACTCCTTGGACCAGATTCTGTATGCTATTGTCTACCAGTTACAACAATTACATCTTCTTTCACTAAAGTGAAAAATACTTTTACTTACATAGCTTACAAAATTGTAATTTATATAGTCGACTAAAGAAATCAGACCTACTAGGCTATTATTAAACTGCTTCAGCTTCTGTTCAGCTTAAATTCTACATCTAACACATCTCCCACTTCCATAAAAAAATATATTTTAGACGGCTGAAGCAAGCACACATATTTAAATAAAATCATATTTTCAGATCATTACAGATGTAGGATCTTAATTTGATCACTCTGTTGCATGATCATTTTATGTGCAATGAAGGCAATTTAAAATGTGTAATGTATTTGAGGTTTAAAAAGGCTTCTGAAGTTTGTAATTTCCACTTTGAAATTTCAGACTTGATTTTCCCTTACGAAAAATGTATCAACCCCTACAAAAATCCATTAATTATAATCCACATAAAAATTCAAATTTCCTGTTGCTGCAGGATTATTATCCTGCTGTAGCAAACTGGCTCAAATTAAGATCCTACATCTGTATGCAATTACTGTAATCATGTCTACATATGTTCATATCAAAGATCCTTTCTGTGTCAATGAAAGTATCTTCACAGATGGTCCAAAACCAAAATGGATCCCATGCTGAAATCCAAGCCCAGGATAGAGGGGCTGAGTGAATGTGGTCTGGACTCTGTGGAGGAGGGTCATTGTATCAGAAACGCTGTAAAAGGACAGAGTACCTGCCTTGTGATCCAGGTACACTCCTACTCTAGAGGAGTAGGGGACACGTATGACAGTCTTTTTATCATTGTGGTAGAAAGAACAGCCATCGTGAGAGCAGATTAAACACCAGGATTGATCATTCTGTCCAAACAAACACTCCCCTCTGCATTTCCTGCTGATGCCTTTATATGAGACAGCTATATAAACCCCAAACCCTCTCCACTCAACCTCCCAGTAGCAGGCTCCAGACAGACCCTCGCTACATAGCACCTGTGGGTCTGAGGTAAATCTGTCTGGATGGTCAGGATAGGACTGGAACCTAGAACTCCATGTCACCTTTCTATTCCCCTCAGATAGACACAGACGGTTATGTGCTGTGTTGGGATCCAATGTAAGCTTACCCAGTCCAGGTACCTTGGCCATTTCCTTCTTAAATACATCTTCTAGTCGCTTTTTCAGCCCAGAGAGTGATTTCTTTACACCCTCAAAGGAGACGCATTGATTGACGGTGATGATGGTCTCAGATCTAGAAGGGACAGAGAGAGACTGGAAACTCTGGAGGAAATGGATATGATCCTCTGTGTTTGAGAGCTGCTCCAGCTCAGCGTCTCTCCTCCTCAGCTCAGCAACGTCCTGCTTCAATTGCTCCAGGAGTCCTTCAGCCCGAATCACTTCAATCTTCTCCTGGGCTCTGATCAGCTCCTTCACCTCAGAGCAACTTTGTTCAATGGAGCGGATCAGCTCAGTAAAGATCCTCTCACTGTCCTCTATCGCTGCCTGAACAGAGAGCTTGAGTGACTTCATAGACTGTCTTACCTCCTGCATCTCCTTCTCTCTCTTCTGGATTCTCTGCTGGGATTTCTGCCTTTTCTCCTCCAACTGCCTCTGTTTCTCAGTCCTTTCTGCTGTAGTTGAGACTGTATCATGGCCTTTATGTTCATCTAATAAACACTGATAACAGATAAACTGCTGATCGGTGCGGCAGTAAACCTCTAACAGTTTGTCATGACGACAGCAGATCTTCTCTTGTAGTTGTGTGGAGGCTTTGATCAGCTTGTGCTTCTTAAAAGCACGAGATTCATAGTGAGGCTGGAGGTGAGTCTCACAGTAAGAGGCCAGACACACCAGACAGGACTTGACGGCTTTGAGTTTTCTCCCAGCGCAGAAGTCACACTCCACATCTCCAGGTCCAGCATAATAGTGAGCTGGAGATGCAGCTTGAAGTCCTGTCTTCAGTTTCTCCACTAATTCAGCCAGCAGAGTATTTTTCTTTAGAACTGGCCTAGGAATAAAGCTTTCCTTGCACAGTTGGCAGCTGTAGACACCCTTCTGATCATCCTGATCCCAGTAAGCCTTAATACAGCCCATACAGTAGCTGTGTCCACAGGGAATAGTCACTGGATCCCTCTGTGTATCCAGACAAATCGAACAACTGATCGAGTCCATAGCTTCTGCCACTTTGCTGCACTCACTTCCTGGTTCTGTGTGTATGTGCACTCTGTACCTGTAGAGGGTGTGGTGTTGGATAGAAGCCAGGAAGTTGTAGTGTCGAGTCAATGCTGCTAATTATTGCTGTGAAACAAAGAGTCCGCTTATACTGTACTTTGATTATAAGTTTTATTTATATCACAAGATTTCAGCATAAGTTTACAGACGCCTGCAGTGTCTGGAGAACAGTGTCCAAAAATAATATGTCTGTTCTAACGTCCTTTGTCTCTAGCCTATACTTATAAGATATGCAAAAATATGGGTGGCTCCCTCTACTGTCCAATCACCTGTCTCCAACGAACAGGGGTGTCACTACAAAATGGCTCCCTCTACTTTAAACATTCTCTCAGGTTCCACTTGAAACCTTATCAAATCATAATCCTTAATACACTACAAAGTGATTAGCTCTGATTCTGATTGGAGAGACAAACCCCCCAATTCTACATTCAAAATTGCTTCTTCTTGTCTGTGGTAATAGAATAAATATGTTATTATTTTAAGCAAATATGGTACATCTGAGTTAGGGTGCTGAGTCAAGGCATCAGACCTAAGTCAACCAATGTCCCTGGAACATAAGCTATTGTTCAGCAGACCA